GGCTGATTCATCTATCCTAAATATCTTGTACATGTGGATACATAATCGGTTGTGCTAGCTCTGAGGCGCACGTTGAGGAATTGTTCTGATCTGTCTATAATAAAGTGGTCGTCTTGCGCTGGGTTTAGTGGTTATTTTATAAAAGCAACGTTTTTCAAAACCTCTACAACATGATAATGGTTGGCAATGAATTAGGAACTGCAATAGTAAGAACTCAGAGGAGCGAACACAACCGGAGACTTCTGATAATCAGGAGGGTCCCTTTTCGCCGATGGTTTCGACCCCCTAACCTTTCCGTTATTCTCTGGAGGTGAGCCATCCAAGTTTTTTGTTTTTTTCCTGTCGTGCTATCGAATTTACTTTTCAAACAAACAAACAAATAATAATAATAATGAAAGACATGGTTTAACCTATAGTGGCACTAAGTTCATAATGGTTGCCGTTAAACGTGCTTCCCCAGTAGCCATGTTGCCGTCCAAAGCTAACATAGTATCCTGTACGCCATAGCGCAGTACAGACTAGTGTTCCTTGCCTAAGGTCAGTGCCGGAAACAACTCCAGTGAAACAACTTCCTGTCAATTTCCACTGACATAGAGTGTCATGCACCCTTGTCTATAATCTATTAAGCTATTACTATTGATAATCTTCTCGTAATTTTGTCCATGACATATTGTGACATATGACTATCGCTTTAATCGGATGCGCATAATTTCCATGTCTATTATTTGTGTATGGTAACGCACGTAAAAACAAATAGGGGATGCGTGGTCTCGGGGCATGGCGTCCGCCTCAAGTGCTGAAGGTCCCGGGTTCAAGCCCCGGTGAAGTCTGGGGGTTTTTCACGTGGACTTCTAGTAATTTTATCTGGTCTCTGGGTTGTAAGATCGGACGCCTGTGTGTATTGTTGTGCACGAAACAAAAGAATCCCTTGGCGGTTGGATATCGAAAAAGAGTAGCCTAACGGCGCTGTCGGGGCAAAATTTTGTGTTAAAATCAATATTAAGTATTTTTAGGATCCTCGCCGGTGTTTCAAGGTTGGTGCACTGCGCTGAGATTTTTTGGACTGAGGCTTGAGTCAGAAGTAGAACGAATCACTTATGGATTACTACCCTTGTGCCGCATGGGGCTTCATAGCAAAGGCTAATGGACTTCGCCTAGTGCAGCAAAGCCTTGATATGATATCACAACGTCTAGTTTGAGAATAGAGGTGGAGGCGGTCACTGCTGCCTTTCGCTGGCTTGAGAATCAGCTGTACACACATGCCGTGATTTTAAGTGATTCACAGAGCATGTTGAGAAAAGTGAAAATAGGGATGCTTTGTGCAGAGTGGTAAGAATCACTTCAGAGGTCCCGAGAAAGTTAGCATCTTTGGATATTTTCTCCTGGTGATGCTGATGTGTTGGGAAATCAGCAGTCAGATTGACTGGCTGGCTCTCCGCCACTTGGTTGTCGATTGATGTATGACAAGTTAGATATTAAAGGGGCCCTTTGGGAGCGAGTGAATAGTGCGGAGGTTCAGATAGATTATTACGGTCTCAAGAGAATGGTGCTGCGAGGAGTTACCCGGTGATCTGGCCGACGCTAAACACTCCGGCGGATATACAATCAGACGGTTACTGCTACTATCGAACTCTTTGCATGATGCTTAAGATGGGGACTGAGCACTTATGGGAGTGTCCCGAGTGCTGTGATGTCAATTCTGAATTCAACATTTAACATTCAACATTCTATCGTTGTGCCATAATGTTGATCTGCCGTCTAAACCTAATGTAGGTAAATATTATAATTAAAACCAAAAAAAGTAAAGGACCTCTTTTCACACCATGAAGTGTGCTGTATAACTCCATATTTGTAAAACTGTAAATTTGTAATCGGCATTCGACTAGTTAAAAAAAACACATCCTATTCCCGAGAGACTAATTTTGTTTATAGTAATATTTCTGTATTTTCAAACCAGTTACTTGTAAATAGGTGACATCTTAAAATATCGCCAGATTGCTATTGCTTCTTATATATTTGGGTGGGGGGGGGGGGGTAGGGGAATAAACTCAGTACGGTTTTATCATTTAGCCCCTCCCCTCTAGTAATTAGCTACGACCATATCTCATTTTAATTTTAATTTACATGTCTTTTCTGCACCCCAAACCGCAGTCTCCGGGTTATAGTCTCTTTGCTGTAGTTTGTCCCCCTCCATGGTTGTAGTCGCAAGGATTACCACCTTAAGTATCTTCTTACTTCCTCTACTCCTGGAAAGCCTCGCGGCGTCAGGGCAGAAAGAGATCTCTGGAACGGGCCCTTCTGTTCACTTCCTATAAAGTACGTTTCAGTGTCTCTGATATTTCTGCGGTCCATATTCTGTGTGGTCGACCTCAGGGTCTCAAGAATGAGAATCCAATATTTTCATTCCCCCGGAAGACCCGTTCAGCCGTTAGGTGTGAGCGCACTATTGTTTTCTTTGTGTGGGCGCGCCTGGTTGTGAAAGAGATTGGCACCACGGTAGGTAATTTACCCGTAATTAGCCGTGGATACATTGCCGGCTACTTAGATTGTGGTATTCACTATAGCTGGTAGCCAGTCTACATGTAAGCTGGTGAACTACCTTATGTAATAATTATACTTGTATATAGCCAAATTATCCATATCTACTACTTCCATCGACGACAGACTGCGTTTCTTGTGGCGACTGTTGGCTTTTGCACTCTAGCAACTGCCATATGCATTTACTTCTTATTCTTCTCTTCCACCATTCACCTCATCGAGGTGTTGCGGGGAGATGTAAGGGTCGTCTGTGCGCTTTTCCCAGTGCATTGTGCAAGCTATTCATCTCTGTTAGGTTGCTCCTCATGATGTCACTCTATTTCTTGCGTGGTCTTCCCCTTGCTCTGTGATATTATATTTCTTCAGCGTGGCTCTCTGTGGCAGTTGGTACCAGGGTATTCTGATCAGGCTTCCAAACCTTCTCATTTGTTGTTCCTTAATGAATTGATGGACTTGTTTCAGTTCTAATCTTCTTCTAATTTCTTCATTCTTGATTTTATCTCGGCTTGTCACATGCAGCTTTCCTAAGACATCTCATCTCTGTTATTACGATCTTCCGCTCGTTAGTTATAGTAAGGGTCCATGTTTGGCAAATGTAACACAGTGTCAGCCAAAACGTTTTTATGAGATTTGCTTCGCTTGACAGAGGTATCTTCTATGCGTTAGAAGCGGTGATAATTGTCCGATAACCTGATTTGCTTTCACACATCCTATGTTTATTTTTCTATCCATTCTTCCACCTGAGGTGAAACATGACCCTAGATATTTAAATTCGCTCGTTTATTTTATTTCTGGGTTATTTACTTTGAGAGTGTTTCTTCTTGTCAGCCTATTACCCTTGCCTCTGCCTTATCAATGCTTATCCTTATGTTAAATTTCTCAAACTAAGTTTTGAATTGGTTTATAAAGTTCTGTAAACTCTCTTCTGTTTCAGCTATTACTACTTGGTCATCTGCACAAAACAATTCTGAGATCAAATCATTTTCTTCCCTTTCTGCTTCTTTTCATAAATTGTCGATGTATGTTAAAAGCAGGGTAGATAGGACACCGTCTTGTTTTACTCCTGAAGTTGTCTCAAAAGGTTGCGATGTACCTGCTTTTATTCGTTTGCAACTTTTACTTGATGTATATAAGCACTCACAAACTTTAGCTAGGTGTTTGCTGATTCCATATCTTCTTAAGCAATTCCACGACATATTCCTATCTACTCTGTCAAATGCCTTTTCCTGGTCTATGAAAGCGACTTTGCATGTCTTATCATACTCTATTGCTCTTATGCATTTACTGCGTAAGCATATTTCTGGATTGTTCCGGGACTAAGTGTTTGTTCGCCAGTTTTTCAAATTAGACAATGCTGGACGTTTCATTTTTTTTTTTTTTTGCACTGACACAGGAACGGAGCAAGTATGGGGAAACCCGATTGCACTGAAGTTGAAATCTCGACTATGAATGAGACTGTATTGTAGAGACTATTTACGGCTAGTCAATTTATTTTATCAGACCATGCTGACTTGAATCCACCCCACTGCAGTTTCTTATCTCCGTATTATTTCCCAGTAAGTTACTATGTACGCGAATTTCCCCGTGTGGATTCTGGGACCCAGTTGTGGAGAAAAAAGGAACAGACACACTGCTCCCCAGTAACCATGTCGTACGAGTGGGCTAACTGGGGGTTCCTTCAAAATTTGAGTGCAGCTGCCCAAAGGGGATGGAATCAACAATTTAAACAAATATTTCAGAACTATAAAATGGATGTGCACATAATACTTAAGCTCTGGAAGAAGTAAAGTCCAAATGTGGACGAACAACCAAAACTGTCCACCAGAGCTTATAGCAAAGAAACAGAAGATGTAAAAGAGAGGACATTGAGGATCTAGGTTTTCAATAATATTTTATTCCAGTTCAGTGCGATTGGATAGACCTTGGCTTGTGAAGGTTTACTGTGGAGGTGAATGTGGCAAACCAGAAGACATGCTATGCAGTGTGGCTACCAAGATTATCTTGGGATTTGTTCACTTGTAGAGGTCTCTATGGTTGTGAGCCTGAAGCGTTTTCCTCGAAATATGAATGTCGTGTTGTCCATTTCATAATATGCATGTTTCTGTTTACAAGAGAAGTGTTTACCGAGATCTTATTTGGATCGTCTCAGGAGCTACAGACTTAGGTCATATTGCGAGCGACTTTAAAGTGTTAAAAAGGCTTTTTTTTTTTAATTTTTTTTTTTTTTAACCGAGGCTTTAAGACATTTTTCGTCTTATTACAGTCCAGTGGGAAAAACACAAAACAAAGAAAGAAAGAAGAATGCAATAGCACCTGAAGAAAAAAGTATTTGATGATGATGCTAATTGTTCGAACGAAAGTAGCATGTATAAAATAATACATTCTCCTGCAGTGAATATTCGAGATCATAAACCAGTTATGCACTGGTCACTAATGTCTTTTCCTTGTGTTTCATTTTCTAGTATCACAGCCACTGCAGCTTCCGTGGGTGCCGCCGGTGTCCCTCAGGCTGGTCTGGTCACTATGGTGATAGTGTTGGCAGCTGTGGGACTTCCTATTGAAGACGTAACGCTCATTCTGGTCGTGGACTGGTTCTTGTAAGTACCACACTGATATCTGTCATTTAACGTGCGAGTTGTGTGAGTCAGTTTGTGTCGTGAGTAACTGCGCTTTGTTTTTCTCTTGTCTTTTAAAAATTTATTATTATTAATGTACCCTATCGCTACAATGGTCCAGAGTACTTAGCGTCCTTAAGATGTGCTTTTCAGATCATGCAACATATTTGGGAAACAAAAAGACAGACCTCTTGACTCGTTCTGCACCACACGGTAGTCAAAAAGTGGTGAAAATGTAGGGGTGACTGCAGTTAAGCTAATATCAATGAATTCCAGTGAAATGTGACTAAACAGCTTTACGAAATGGGAAGCAGATGAACATGCACAAAACAACACAGATCAACGTTTCGGCCAGCGGCCTTTCTCGAACATTAAAGTCCATTTGTGTTGTTTTGTGCACGTGTTTATGCTTTCCAATTTTGTTAAGCTTTTTAGTCACTGGAATCACTCAGTAGTTAACTAATGCTTGGTGAGCTCGAGTTATCATGGCCCTTTTAGAGCAAAGGAACAGTTAAAGGTAAAAGGACCCTTTTCCACGCCTTTAAGCGTATAGGGAATATAGGGCTAGACCTATATTTTTATAGACCAACGGCACAAGATGGGTGATGTGGTCAGCATCACACCGAAAGGAACAGTGCAAAGGCACAAATAGACCAATGCGGTCCTGAAAGAATAGTTAGCGGTAAATGACTATGGGATTTAGACGACGCTTAACACCCAAGGGAAAGACAAGAAGAGCATACCATCAAATCAGTAATGGTATCAGGGGAATTAAAACTGCCATGGTTGAAGATAGGAACCGAGCGTTTTGGGGAATTCCCTTAGTGCTCTGATGTGTGTTTGTCCGCCCCTGGTTTATCCAGCCTTAAATGGGTACTAGGTAGAGTCACTGAAATGAATGTAAAGGCGACCGGTGTGATGTTGATCACCTAATTCATCAATTGCTGATTGGTCTATAAAATATAGGTCTTTCAGTATCTGCTCAAAATCCCCGAAGGCGTAGAAAGGGTGCTTTACCTTTCCATGTGATTCCCATTTTACACTATGGCGACCTGGCAATCGAATCACTTTCACAATTGCTGTTCAGTTGAGATTTAAACAGAATACCACTAGACCGAGCGATACACCTCTATGACATTTGTATGTCCTCAGTTTTTAAAAGTTGGTTGCTTATTCTGTACACAACCTTCCGGAACCAATTTTATAATTTGTTAGCTGTTTGGTTTTACTTAAAAATTGTACGTTCTGTAGTTTGTCATCGATCCCTTAAATGTCAGCTATCTATACGATTGTCGACATCAGCGCAAAGCGGTCAGCTGCCAAATCACGCACACTGGGAACCGAACCGAGTGCTCGAAATTACAAGACGCGCCTGCAAGGCCTAAGCCACAATATTTACTATTGTTTCTCAGTACTACAGTAACTTACAACTTTAAGGAGATTTTGACTAACTCTAGGGTGCTGAGAACCAACTTTAGGGTGATGGGGACCTACTTTTAGAAGACGAAGACCAACTTTAACGAGAGAGAGAGAGGAAGAGAGAGAGAGAGAATGAGAGAGTGAGAGAGTCATGCCAACGACTCTACATAGATAAGGACCAAGTCTATGAAGATGGGACCAACTCTATAAAAAAGGCGAACAAACTCTAGGAATATCATGAACATTTGTACCAACGAATCATGTCTACCAGTAAGCCATAGTCAATTATTTAAACAAATCCACCTTGATGCAGACTCGAATTAAGCTGTCGGACTGGACGCCATCGTCTAGCCTGATGGCTACGGCTACGTCCGATTGATTCTTGTGTCTGTGAAACAATGTGTAGATTTAAGGACTTTAAAAGACATCAGACACAAATATATAGAGAATTAAACCCTCTGTGTTTCGGCGTATTCCAATGCACGGTTTCCCCGAATCACATGAATGTAGAGTAGAGACGGATATTGGATAAAAGAGGAGAGGTTGAGGACAATTGTCAATAAAAGCCAGCCTATGTTCGATGGTTGGAAAAGATACAGACGGCCATTACAATGAATTGTTTTTATTGATTCAAGAAAACTCTTGGTTCGGGATCCGGCTAGTGAAGAGCGGTTCATCATTCGGGCTGGACTGCAGTACACTGTAGTCAATGGCGGACGTAAATAGACGGAAATAGGTTACAAGCTACCGCTCAAAGAGTCATTGTCAGTTTTTTTCAGTGTTGTGTTTTCACATTTTATGGGAATCGCTTCTTCTTTTTTTTTTTTTTTTTTTGTTCCTTATTTTTTTCTTTTTCTTTCCTTTTGCTTGTACCGTAAAGCATTGTAGAGAGGGGTTAGATTAGAATCGCAAAGGTTTAAAACTAATTTAAATTAAGGCCCCCCCCCCTTTTTTTTCACCTCACTGTCCCCCGTTATCTATACACATTGCTTAACTAGAACGTCTGATCAGTGTCTGTGGCTTGAAAGTCGCAAACGCGCTTCGTAGTAATTCCGAGATACCCTGTTCGATTACAGCTAGTTGCGATGTGGCAGCAGACTGCATTGAACATATGATGTTAGACTCGTATTTCTGTACACAAATCGGCACCCAATTGGTCCATCAGTCGACATGGCCACGGCTGCTCTGACCTTTTAGAACCAGACCCAGTACCTTATGTAGGCTACTGTCATTTGTTATTTCCAAACTCATACGTTACAGATTCGAACTCACGACCATCCGGTCGAATGGCGAGCGCATAGCCATTACGCTAACGCGACTTCCTCTCTATAGCTGGACGGATTAGGTTAATGGGTAACAAGAACCTATGACAACAACTGGATTGCATGACCTGGGAGTTAAAAAAACGATGCTGCCTTCCAGGCCTAGGAAAAAAAGACATTATAACGAACTTCTCATGGGAAGAATAGGTGGAGGTCCCTTACAGTGGCTGCTGTATCCGAGAACTGAGCATGCATGGGATTGCCCAATGTGCTTCGACGTAGATTGTGTTAACGTAACATAACATACCGTAATGTAACACAGAGGCTTTCTGTATTCTCATACACAAGGTCAATCAATCAGAAGCCGGGCCGCACCAAAGGTGGACTGTTATGAATACATAATACCCTGCCCCTAATTCTGTTTGTACTTACTCTAAGATTGCTGTTCGTCCATCTTTTAATGTTTGTCTATCCACTTGTTTAGCTGTCAGGCTCGCAGCCACACAAAAAACATGGCGAAGGGGCACAGTAATTCTATAGGCAAGAGACGCTCAAGTTTGTTTAATTGCACAATAATGATAACAATTAATAATATGTTGTGCCCCTGGCTGTTGTGTGGTTTTTATAGGCAAATTTACGTCCAATAGTTTGCCATTTCTTTCTGGACGCTCAGCTTTCTTGATACCACTGTCGAAACCAAATCAAGGCGCATGGCCCGCAACTATGATCGAACTCGGCATCCCGGCATTACGAAGCGTTCGCATCTACTTAGCAGAGCCGACATGTGCCATATGGTAGATGAAATAATGTATTCAAAAAATGTTTAATACATAAATGCATGCTTAAATGAAAACGTGTATATACTGTGGGTGGGAATGGGGCTTTGCTTATAAAATATTATGGGTGTGGAAAAGAAAGACGGGGGAGGGGGGGATCGTTCAGGATGGTGGGAGGGGGAATCTTTCAAGGTTCCTGAGTCCGCTGGTTCCTGTGCCTGTGATAGATGTATACCTCTTTGCTGCGTGCATAAATCCCCCTATCGTATTTTTACAAAGCGCGTCAGATTTTTCACGTGATCACAATATTTATCTTTTGCCGTGTGTTTTGTTAGTCCCAGGCCTCTCCAAAATGTATTTAGTTTTCACATTAAATTCAGATTACCAAGGAATTAACGAATGTGGGAAAGTTATGACAGACACAAAACAAAGATACATGGGAAATTTGTTCAACAATACCGCAGTGGTGAATAATATGAAAGCGAGGAAGAAGAGAGGGCAAAGCCTTAGTAAGTGTAAAAACAGAGCCAGAGAAAGAGAGGATTAGAGGTTCATCAGGAGAAAATAAGAAAGCAGGAGAAAATCAACCCTGTGCCTCATGAACTCAGGTGGTCCCACTCTCTGAAAATGTCTAGGAGCTCATGGGCCGAAACATTTGTCGACGAAGGATTACTTATACTGACGATTGGTAGATTCCTACTGTACATGCTCCCCTGTGGAGTTGCTTCTTATCATTGTAAACAACCTAAAAGGAATACCACTGTAGGTTCGGCAATGAAAGACGTATGACAGAAACTATACGACATGTGTACAGCTATCGTTACTACAGAAACAAGTATCAACTGTGTTCTGTTCGCTGAGCGAGCAGAGCATCATGGATATTGCTGAAGTGCTAGGATGGCATTTTTAAGAAGGGGTGGGGGGTTAAAGAAAAATGCCTGCACGAAAACTATTGCAGCATTTTCGTGTAACTGGTTAAAGTTTTTATTGATATCGGATAGACGTAACACATAAAGGTTTATTGCACACGCAAATGCAAGTCGTTTAGTGCAAAAACGTTCTGATATGATGCACCGGCCTCTGGTTTGACAATACAGGTGAAGACAGTCACAGTAGCTCTCCTTGGCTTTGTTGTCAGCTGCACACGTATGTCGTAATTGTAACAGACTCACGTGGCATGATGAGGGGTAGAGCAAATTATGCTCCGTGGTAAGCATAGCTTCCAAGGTCACCAGTGGTTCTCGTCCTTTGGATCTTGTATCCAGGCACATGCAGTTTGCAGGTGTGTTTGAAACTGGACAGGCAGACCGCTGGCTGATACTGCACTAGTGGGTGGTTAACTGATCAATGGCAAACAAGATGTGTCAAAGGCATGTAGGAATGGATCAACAATGCGGAAGCGAGAACAAATCATTTCAGTGTTGACAGAACGGTACAAAAGGGTGTGACCTGGAAGGGTAGGTGGGGGGGGGGGGGGAGGGGAAGTATTAGTCGGTAGCTCTACACCCAGAGCAATGGACAGATG